CGCTCCCTGCCCTGCCGCCCCCCGAGCCCTCGGGGCTCCCAGGCCAGGGGCTTCCCGCTGTTTCCCATTTGGTTCTTTCGTGTTCTGTTGCTAGGTGGGTTTCTGGGTTGGGACCTTGGTTTTGGCTCTCCTCTTCCAAGCCCTGTGTGTGCTCATGCCCTGTCAGCCTTTTCCATCTGCTTGCTGGGGAGCACAATTTTGGGAAGGGAAGAGGCGCAGATGCTGGGGGAAAAATAGCGGGACCCCAAAAAGCTGGCAGCTCTGCGGGCAGTAGAAATGCCGCAGCCCATTTTCCCTGCCATCTCACGCTCCGATCTCTCAGGGTTAATGGTTTTCCTGGGGGTTAGGACATTCCTTGCAACTCTCCCGCGCGGGCTCAGGCGCCAGGGGAGGGCGAGTTGGTGCTGCAGCCTTCGCGGTGGGGGCTGCCTGCAGCGGGGGTGCCTGGTGGGTGCTGCTGCCAGATCTTCGGCGACTGCAGCGCGCGGGGAGCCGGCGAGGAAAGCCTCCGCTGCTGCACAAGCTTCATTGCTGTAGGAAGCCAAGCTAAAATTGGAAAGCATACAGGAAGTGTTTCCGTCTTCTCTGTGCCAGGCTGGTCTGGAGGAGCTGGAAATCTGGAGGAAATGGAAAAATGGGGTGGTTTTGTGGAAATAACAAATCCTGACTAAAATGGCTCTAATTCTGCTGTGCTTCACCTCTCTTGAACAGAAGGACATTAAGTGAAGCCCCTTTATTCACATTTACCGTATTCAGCCGCAGGTCCCCCTGGCCACCACGGGCTGTGGGGTTCAGTGGGGGGGTGGCGATGGCTGTGATCAGCGTGAGGACCGCCGGAGAGGCCGTGGCCAGTGCTGCAGCCCCTCTCTGTGGAGCAGGAGCTTTCCTTGGGGCTTGCACCATCAGCTCCCCGTTCACACGCTGTCCCCAGACACCGTGAGATGCAATAGCTTCTGGTTTATCAGCCAACAGCCTTATTCCCACCGTTGTCCCTCTACAACAGGAAAACAGGGAGTGCACAGATCAATGAGAAATCACTCCAATGCTGTGGCACAGCTCCGTTTGTCATAGCAGATGCCTGAGACCTATCCAAAAATAATAGGAGTACCAACTTTTCCTGGTCAGATGTACTTCCCGGTACTTCCTACGTGCCAGCTAAATGTTTCCTGTACTTTTACGAAGGATGAAGGCTTGGTTTTGATGAGTGGCTGACTGGATTCAGTATTTCATTTGCTTACTCACAATTTCTGGGAAAATAAATAGGAAGGAAGTACATGCTGGTTTTTTTCCTTCCCCAAGAAATTCTAGAAAAGTTTAATGTCAAAGCTAAGGAATCCGCAGGAGCTGCGAGAAAATCCGTAGTGGTTTATGATTGCAAAGGGACGCAGCGAGGAGTCCAGCCCCCTGGGGAGGCACAGCTCGAAGCTCCCCCTTGCAGGGCTGCTCTGAAACTGCAGGGCCAGCTCCTGCTGCTGGGCCAGGCTGGGCCAGGTCCCCTCCAGCCTTGGCATCCTCTCCCATCTCCCTCCGAGTGGACAAGTCTCCCAGGCCACAGCATTGTCAGAGAAAAAAAAGAAAGAAAGAGTCCAATTGATGTCCTTTTGCTGCAGACCAAGGAGAGAAGGCTTCTGCAAAGGGCAGAGAAGATCCCCCGGGATCTGTGGGGTGGGAGGGGGCTGGTTGGGTTCTGCCACTTGAGGCTGGTCCTGTTGAGACCCCCTCGTTTTGCCCAGACAAGGTGCTTGCCTCGGCCCGTGGCGAGGGTGAAGGGGCGAGTTGTGCTTCCTCCCCGCCACATCTCACCAGCCTGGTACCCAAACCCAGCTGGGCAAACCATGTCCCTCTGTCCCGGAGCTGCCCAGGAGGCCCCTTTGGCTGTGCCACGCTCAGCCTGGTGCTACCAGGAATTAATTGATTCCTCGTCAAAGGCTTAGGACGTGCAGTGCCCCAAACAGTGTCAGTGCTGTCTCCCTTGGCTAGGGGGTGCTGGTGGATTGACAAAGAATATGCAGAGGGCGGATGGGTGACTGTGTCTCGCCGGCCCTCGGCAGCTCCGGCACTTGTGGCAGGGGTTTGGTAACCAGACCGATGCGTTATCGCCCACCAGGTTTCGTTCCGCTACCACTGCCAGCTGTACTCGGAGTGGCGAAGGACCAACCAGAAAGTCCGCCTGATGATCCCAGCCTCGCGGAGCCCCCACCCCGTGCCCCACTCCCTCCTCTCTGCCAAGCTCATGAAGAAGACCGCGGATGAAACCACCGTCTGAGCCGTCCCTCGGCCGCCGCGCCGCGTGGCTGCTGGGGCGAGGGCAGCCCTTGGGGGCTGGCAGGAGCAAAGAGGGGCGGGTGTCCCTGCGTGCTCAGGAAACGTGGCAACTGCGGAGGCACTAGAAAGCAATCATCCCCCCCGGAGGGACTCTGCGGTCAGCACGTGCTTATACTATGGCAAACAACGTTGATAATCAACGCCTGTCACGTGAAATGGCCCAAAAGAGCCAGGCGACAGAACACGGGACACTTTCCTATAACTAAATACCATACGTGGAAAATATCTCCATATATATATATATATCTATATATAATATTATTTTTTAATGGCCATGCATATTGTGTTTCAGTCCTTTTGTGTTGATGTTCTAAGCTTCAGTATAGAAGCTGGCAGCCTGATCTCATTCAGAGGTTAAATCGATGCCTTTTCTCCAAACGAGCGTACAAAGAACACTTCTCACCCGCCGTTCGTGGAAGTCCCCTTCTCCTTTGCACTAAATTGGTTTTGATAATACTGCAGCAGCCTTTCTCGTTACTCTTTGGTCTCTCTCGTGGTGTTTCTGTCCTTTCTAGAAAGTTGTGTGTTTTTAATAATTATTGTAATCCAGAAGGAGTAAAATGACGTAATCCTGAATGGAGACATTTTGTATTGTAAAGTATGGTAATTTTGAGAATTTCAAAATAAGTTTCAAAATGAGAAAAACCTTTTCCTGTGCAGACATGATCTCACAAAACGCTTTCCTTGCAGATCCTGGCTCATCCCCAGGACTCGGATGCACTCGGCTGCTGGTGTGTCTGGCAAAGGTAGATGGAGAGCTGAGGGTGGGAGGTGATGGCTCGTCCTAGCTAAACCCACCATTGCCTTTTGCTTTTAAAAGATTCAGAAAGGAGCTTTCCTGACCCCTAAAGGTGAGAGTTGGAGTCTCTGTTTGCTGATGTCCTTTCACCACCCTGAGGCTGGACCTCTCATAGTCCCAGTTACACCCATACCTTAGGGGACAGGCCCTGCACTGCAGCCGCTCGGCAGGACGCTGTCTCTGTGCGCTGTGTTTGCACATTCCTCGGCAGCAGCCAGGGGAGCTGCTGTGATTTGGCTCATCCCCGAAAACGCTGCCTGCCTGTTTTGTCCCCTCTCGAGAAACACCCCAAGATCGCTGGTTCCCGGAGAACAGGCTCTGGGTCCCTTCTCCTGCAGGGCCAGTGTTCCTCCTCCTCCTTCGTTCCCAGCACATCCAGCTAGCGAACCCCTCCGTCGTGGAGTGCCCAATCTGCCGAGGGTCTCCCCGAGTTTGGCTTTAGTCCTCGCCTCTCTGCTGCCTCCCCACCCTGCCAGACGATGCCTGTGCTTGGTGCTGTGCTCTCCGGAGCCCCATGAGAGGAGCGGGCCGTAAGACGCCGGCACCGGCACTGCCCACCAGAGGTGGGTGCAGCAGCTGGGAGGCAGCCTTGGCTCTCCCTCCCGCGGTGGTGAGGGTGGATAGCAGGGAGGAGGCAGGCTCCAAGGCGCCCGTGTCCTTGCAGCGGGTGGTGGTACAGTCACACACTTGCGTCCCTCTGCTCCTTTCCTGAAGTTGAGTGGATCAGTCCGATGCCCTGCTAGATCGAGACCTGTAAGTTCTTGAATTCAAAGCACCACGTGCCATTCCTCCTTCTCTCTAGCTGCAAAGCAGGCGGCTTTTCCTTCCGTGTCCCTGACCCTAGGCTGTAAGTCGCTGGTGGGATGAGCAGTAGGGGCCAGTGCCCTGTCTCTCCCAGTAGGGTTGCTCCAGCCCTGGGGCCTGGTCTGTGCCTGCTCTCCTCCCGCCCCAGGGTTCTCCTGCAGCTCAGTGACACCCCAGCACATCTTGCAGCAGCCCCTGAGGTTTGGTCCGAGCTGGTCTCTGTTCTGAGCACGAGGGTCTCCTTTGATCACAGGGTGAACGGCTTCTGTCGCGGCCAGGTTGTGCATCTCTGCTCCCCTCTCTGCCACCCTCTCTGCCCGTCTCTTCCCTTCTGCCACGGCACCTTCCCTTCTCCCTGTTGTGCAGGGATGGCTCAGCTCCCGGATGCCCATGGCGCAGAGAGGCCTCTTCAGCCCCGCTGCGGTTCTGCTCCCCGCACCGCGGTAGCGTCCTGCTTCAAACCAGCCTGTGCAGGGGAGCTGCCACGCAGGCGCTGCCCCCCTCCGCGCGCCCCTTCCCTTGGCAGTGAGTGCTGCACCGCTGCTCCGTGCCTTGTCCTGGGTTCCCCTTCCTTCAGCCCCTCCCCAGCAAACCCCGTGTTCACCAGGATGTTCCCAGCAAAGAAAAATTTGGGGGTTTAGTTTACCCTTCCCAGCCCTGGCTGCCTCCCAGGAGTTTGCTCTTGCCACACGTCTCGTTCTGGCAGGTAACGAAGGATGTGCGCTCCCACACCACGTTCCCCTAGTAAGGACTTAATGGAACCAGTGTTTCAGTTCGGAAACCCACTCTTGATCCAAATATGCAACTGTGAAAGCCAGAAGTCCCTGGCTGGGGGCAGCTGGGGCCCAGCCCAGTGCTGCTGCGCGGCCGTGGCTTCGCTCTCAGCTTCGTTGTCTTTATTGTAGTTGCCGGTAATTGGAGTTGTTGCATGTGCCCCTGCAAAACCCAACAGCGACTCTTTGAGTCTCCTCCTCCTTCCCAGAGGAGACATTCAGCTCGTGGATGTGGGAAATCAGTGTCTCTGACCCTCCACGTTCCAGTGTCACGGGGAAATGGGCTGTGCAATTATGTAAATAAAAGTGAGACAAACGTTGGGCTGCTGCGTTGTTACTGGGGGAGGTGGGGGTGCCTGAAGAGCGCAGCCTGGTGTGCCGGCTTCCCAGGGCGCTGGGGGCAGCAGGTTTCATGTTTGAGCCAAAGGTGGACAAAACCCAGGGCTTTTTGTCATTTACGGGCAGGTTTCTCTTGTCTGCACACAGAAGCCTCCCTGGCGTGAGCCAAGCAAGGCGATGGTTGGGCCCAGGGCGTCCTTTGGGCCTCTGCAGAGGGTGGGTTTGGGGCTGCAGGAGCAATCCCCAGGCGGGGTGCTGGGGGCAGCAGGTTTCATGTTTGAGCCAAAGGTGGACAAAACCCAGGGCTTTTTGTCATTTACGGGCAGGTTTCTCTTGTCTGCACACAGAAGCCTCCCTGGCGTGAGCCAAGCAAGGCGATGGTTGGGCCCAGGGCGTCCTTTGGGCCTCTGCAGAGGGTGGGTTTGGGGCTGCAGGAGCAATCCCCAGGCTTGCCACCTTGCAGCCCCACAGAGGCTCCCGCTGCCCCGGTGAATGGCCTGGCCGTGGCTCCA